TGTTAGGCTTCAGGAGCACACAAATAGCGTTAATCTCGCGATAATTGGATATAAAATGCAAGAGGTTTTCCATGTTTTTATTATCCCTTTCAATACCTTCCGTATCGGCAATACCCGGGGTATCAATAATATTCAAGGCTATGTTGCCATCTGTAAACTTATAGCACCGGGCGTTTTGTGTGGCCGATCGAGTGCTGTCTGTAGTGTTTTCATTGGGGTCTTCGTGTGGACACAACTTAATACTCTTGAGTTCGTAGGTCTCCTCATCCGATACCGTGAATGAGACGGGTATTAGACAGTGGGGCCGATCACTGGCCTCAGCCATAGTCTCGTAAGTCATGTAATTAACAAAGGCATTGATGAATGTAGACTTTCCCACACCAGACTCACCCAACAATAACAAGGTTATTTCTTTTTTAGCCATAATCTGCTTAATATTATTAACATAAAATAAAACTGATCCACATAATTTTTAAAAGAAAATATAAAATATATTATTTAATTTTTACAATATTTTTATGATATTTTATTTTATGCAGTTAAGGTTATTTTGTTCACAAAATAAAATAATTATATTGATATAAAGCTATTTGCTTAGCAATGTGATAATAATTAATTTATTGTTTTAAAACACATCAGTAATGTTGGCAACTATCAAAAATCAAACAGTAATTAGTTGCTAGGCGTTTTACTTTATGCTTTGTAAAAGATTTTATTACACAAATTAAATTAAGTAAATAACTTTATTAATGTTTTATACTTTTATCTATTTTATTGTGCTATTGTGCTATAGTATAATTTATATAACTTATAAAACAAAAAATTTAACTTAAACCAGAAATAATCAATAAATATAAAATACTTAAAAATGCTAGTAAAATAATACTTTATTATCGAAATAAACTGTAAAAGTTAATAACATATTCTTAAAGTCAAATAACAATATTGTTTTTAAAACTATCGGTCTTAAAGTTTCCGGGCGTTGTTTAATTTTACTCAATAATATACTTCTTAATTTTATTGAACAAGGTGGCTCCCTCTGGCAATTCATGACTGACTTCCATTTGAATTTCATGATTCTTAACTCTGGTTTTACGCTCACATTCTAGGAGTTCCTCAATTTTGCTACCGTTCCACTTTAGATGGCATAACTCGCCGATACTATTATCAATCTCATCGATCGAAATCGATACCCGTTTTGAAACATTATCATCCATGACATCTTTGAACACTTGTCTCTGCTGATTATATGCATCTAATAGGAGCTCCAATTTCTCAGCCGTGTTTCCACACTCACCCTTATCGGCACCGGTAGTCTGGGAAGCATTTGTTTTCTCATTCTTAATCAGATAACGTACGTAATTACCAAAAGCATCGTTAAATGGTGTAAGGGCATTTTCCTTTAGAAAACACGCAAATCGAGCCATTGATTTTGATATGATTTCCGTTTCAACCGCCAGTTCCACTATTTTAGCCTCCAGTTCCCATATATGCTGTTGTTTCACCTTAGCTGCTTCCACGGCATTATTTATGCGCCGGTACTTTTTATTATCTCTAATCTTGGTCTTTTTAATGGAAGTCTCATAATTGATATATAGGTGGGACTGATAGGAATGGCCACAAACAAAACACATCTCGGATATTATGCGTTGAGAGAGTACTGCCAATATTTTACCCTGTGCATTCAATGAACCCTCGGTGACCTTCATGTCGGGTGATAATTCAGCTGGATCATAATAAGCAGGTTGTCCAATGTCCACATAATTATTGAACGCGATACAATCCAGTAACCCTTTATTACCCATAATATTACCATCATGGTATTCTAAGTAACATGGGGAATGACAATCTGATTTGTAATGAGTCTTGGTGACTCCATTAATTTCCCTCATTGTACAACATTCTTTGTCGCCACATACAGTTTTAGGCATGTCTAACGGTATTGTCACAATATCCACAGTAGGAATATAAAGTTTCTTTCTCAATTGCTCAATGTCACCTTTGAACACTTCCATACGTCTCTTATGAATTTCTAATTCATTTTGATTGTCGGCTATATTTTTTGCGATATCTGCCAACGGTTTGGTTAGCAGGTTAATGTTCTGGATTGCTGTGTTTAGTGATAAAGTATCCCGTACTTTATGTGGGTGCAGTGATATAATGTGTTTAAATAGGCGCTCGCATTCACCAACTCCCCTTGATTAATAAATAAAAATTGAAATAAAATATTATCTAAAACAAGTATTTAGCGTACAATAAACTGCTGTATATAAATATAACTAACTTGAAAGTTTCATATTTTAGTATTATATGTCAGTTTAAGTACACTGATTTATTACTAGTTCATAAATTGTTTTATATAATCCTGATTGAAAATTTTATAAATTCCAAAAAGTATTGCACTAAGGCATATACAATTAAGACATACCTGCGCCAACTATTTTCATAATCCTGTTTAGAATCGTCGGAAAACGGCAACCGATTTGGCGGTGCGGTCGCCACTGCGAACCGAAAGGCCTCGCTATCGAAGCAGTAGATCGTACTCTTGCCGTACTTTATGTCCACGTTTGGGGGCTTTTCACTAATATCCTTCAACAGAGAGTTAAGCGCCGGACCCGACTCTCCCGGTGCGTAATTAGTAGCCCGAGAGTTAG